AGCTGATATTGGTTGGTTGTTCGGCGATAGGGGTGAGAAAAAAGTGCGGGCTATAGCAGCTTTCATAGTAGGGTTTTGGCTGCTTGATGTTGCTAATAATTTGACTCAAGGACCTTGCCGTGCTCTTCTTGCTGATCTTACTAGTAAGCTCTCCTTTCAATTTTAACTATTACTAGTATCTTTTTTTAAGCACGTGCTTGTGGATTTTTCTGCTATTGCATTTTCTACTATGCTTCTTTATCTGCATTTGAGCTTTGAATTTATAATTTTGTCATTTTGATTTATATATTTGGTAGTCTTCCTTTTTTTCTTTTTCCTTTTTCCTTTTTTTTGGTGGGTAAATTCTCTGTTTCTATCAATGGAATAACGTTTTCTTCTAGGAAAAATCGACAATCATTCGTGGCAACGCGATGGACATTTTTCCGACTTGTGCTTGTAAAGTTATAGTGCTAGAACTCGTATTTAGTGCAATGGACAAAGCTGCTCCTTCCCCTATGTAGCGGGGCAGACCCACAATATACTACCTATACTTAATTTCTTTCTTTCAGCGGATCAATGGGCTGATGAGCAAATTATTCATCGATAAGATATATAGTATTTTTTTTTTAATGACAGTGGTGTCCATTAAGCGCACCTCCAATATTCCGGGTACCTGTTACTTCCCACGGTCCTCAAGCACAAGTACCGGCTAACTATGTCCACTAAAGCTTAGGCAGATAGAAAAAATCGCCTGGTAATTTTATCTCCTTGGGACTATAGTTTGCATTATTTTTATTTTTTAATACTCCATCTGTTCCAATTTATGTGAACCTTTTCACTTTTCGAGATTCAAATATGTAAACTTTGACCAACATTTTGAAATTTTATTTTTCAGTCATATTGAATCTGAGAAGAGTTGTAACTTATAGTATTTTTCGCATAGTTCTTGAATATCTAAATTTTAATATTTAAATATTGAGTTAATCTAATATAATTTAGCGTCAAATATTAGTTAAATTGACTCTCCGAAAGCGAAAAGGTTCATACAAACTAGATCGGAGAGAGTATTAATGTTGTCACAACTGTCTTGAAATTTGTTCCCTTTACTTTTTAGTATATTTTCCTTTTTAGTAGACATTATACTTATGTTTCTGTCTTTTAATTAAAAATGAGACGACTATTACAAGATCCATATTTAATCTGTTTTCTACCCTATAATAAAAAGCAAAAATCCAAATTAAATCTCTTATGTAGGAAATATATATCATAGTCTACAAGCTTTGGCTTTTCAGAATCCTACTTCAGTTTTCTAATTTCTTTAAGAATAAACATTTGCTTATTTAGTTTATTACTTATGTTTTCATGGCAGATGAGCTTAAATGGAGCGACATGTTCAGATTCATATTGCCTACCCCAACTTGTTTGGGCTTGCGGCGTACTTTGTTGTTTGTATAATGTTTTCTTGGTCCACCTAAGGAGCTAGTAATATGTCCTTTCTATATCGTCATTTCATTTTTTGGCCGCACTTCCCATTTGGGGGAGAGCAATATATGCATAAAAAATAGAGAAATCGATGAAAATGGTGGCATTGGTTCAGTTATAGTTATCAGATTTGAGGCAGAGGGCTTCTTGGATTAAGTAGAAATATATAGAGTTAGAGCATCATTAATACGACAAAGAATATAAAATGCTTGGTAGAATCTTTTGTGAGACACCAACTTAATTTTTGATAAGAAACCAACATGTATTGTCTCTTATCAAAAAAAGACACCAACTTACATTAACGACAGGGTATTCTCGTCTTCAATCTGTAACAATTTATTACTTCGGGAAGTTGCCTTAAAAGTTGTGACATCTTTCTTGTGATCTCTATGCATGGTAGGAAAGGATCACAGAAGAACTCGAGTAGCAAATGCGTACTTCTCCTTGTTTATGGCTATTGGTAACATCCTTGGCTATGCCACTGGATCTTACAGTGGCTGGTTCAAGATCTTTCCTTTCACCCTCAGTTCTGCATGCACCGTCAACTGTGCCAATCTCAAGGCTGCTTTTGTTATTGACATTATTTTTATTGCAAGCACTACATATATCAGCATATCTGCAGCCAATGAGCAGCCTCTAAGTCCCAGTCAGGTTACCCCTCATACTAACGAAGAGATTGGAGAATCAAGCCATAGTCAAGAAGAAGCTTTTCTCTGGGAATTATTTGGAACTTTCAAGTTCTTCCCAGTTTCAGTTTGGGTGATCCTGCTTGTCACTGCTCTGACTTGGATAGGATGGTTTCCATTTCTGTTGTTCGATACTGACTGGTTTGGCAGAGAGATTTATGGTGGTGAGCCAAATGATGGAAAGAACTATAGTACTGGAGTTAGAATGGGTGCATTGGGTCTAATGTTGAACTCAGTGCTCCTTGGAATAACATCAGTTTTCATGGAGAAGCTCTGTCGGAAATGGGGGGCTGGTTTCACATGGGGAGTTTCAAACATAGTCATGTGTCTCTGCTTTATAGCAATGCTTATAATTAGTGTTGTTCGGAATAACATGGACATTGGTCTGGATCTTCCCCCAGATGGCATTGTTATGGCTGCGCTAGTAGTATTTGCTATTCTTGGGATCCCGCTGGCAGTAAGTTACTTGAAGTTGTATCCTTCAATTCTTATGCACTAACACATGCATATGTTGGAGAATGGAAAGATTAGACACCTCTAAACTGCAAGTTATCTCCTTTCTCAGTATTATTTATGGACAACCAATTGCTATCTGTCTTTTGTTTCCTACTCAATGCCTTTGTTTGAAACTAGGGGAAGAAAGAAAATAAGATGGAAAATGATAGAGAACTGAAAGGAAATTTAAAACTTTTACATTGTTTTATTATAAGAGTTAAGGGCCAGGGAGAAATAAGTAGGCCGTTTAGTGAGCAGTTTATGGGCTTGTAGAAGATATTTTATTTCTTCTGAAAATTTGGAAACTATCTCTTCCTTTCCCTTTTGTCTTCTGAAACAACGTCAGATTTTGTCAGTCAGTTGACAGCTTGCTCGCTTTCGCTCTTTCTTTTCTTTCGGGTAGACAATATTGCGAGCTGATGACAGTTGAAATCTGTTGCTTTTCAAACTTCTATAAGCTGAAATGATATTATTGTGTAACTGACTGAATCTTGAAGGCTATCAACTGTAACATGATATGGAAGGGTATTAGAGGGAAGTAACTATTACAAAAGGCTTTAGCATAAGCACTATATTTATGTTGGCTTGGAGAGAACTTCGTCCAGGCTCTGATTTTTTTTTTTTTTCAAACTAATTCTTTTCAGATAACATACAGTGTTCCGTATGCTTTGGTATCCTCTAGGATTGAAGCTCTAGGGCTAGGACAAGGTAGGTCGAATTATGTCTCTTTAGCTTATCCATGGATCAAATAGAAAGTAATGGTTCAATTGCTGCTTTCAACCTTGCAGGACTTTCAATGGGTGTTCTGAATCTAGCAATTGTGATTCCACAGGTATCGCTTTGCTCGTCTATTCTTTTGTTTCTTTTTATTTCATGTTGCTTCCAAGCCACTAATTCTATGGATCCAAAAAGGGCTTGTCACAAAATTTCAGCCCTTCCAGATGTTTTGAGTGAAAGCACTATAGAGAAACAGAGGCATAGGAGAAATGAATTTTTTTGGGTATCTTAGAGGAAGAAAAGAAAGGAGAAGGAGAGGAAGGGGAGGGGAATAAAGTTAATGATGTTTCTAGCCAAAAGTAGGTGGAAATACCAAAAGTCTTTTGTGTATTTTTTTTGTAATGTATTTAGTGTTAGAATATAGAGAAATGTGTCTAGAATCTTTATATTTGAATTAAAAATATCTTATGAAATACTCTATAAGACACCTTAGAGTACTCTGTATTTAGTACTCGATGGAACATTTACTTTAACCTTACTAACATTGAAAATGAATACCTACCATATTGTTCATAGCCTATGCTCCTATATAAGAGCATCTCTTGGACATTGTTACTTAATCAAGTCAATGATAAGTTTCTTCTCAGTTCTGTTGGAAAAAAAAAGAAGTTTCTTCTAAAATCACATGGTATCACAGCTTCTAATGTTCTTGGTAAAGACTCAAACAGCTTCCGCTACCTGCGGGTACAATTTGTGTTACTCGTCTAGCCAATTTTTTTTTTTTTTTCATTTCTTCCTTTTGGTTTCTGGCACTTCTCCTCTCTCCAGCAACGGGTGCCACTACTCATCTCTCCGGCAACCATTTATGCACCGCTCCTCTCTGGCAATTGTTCAGACACCGCTTTGCTCTCTAAGATCGTTCAAGCACTGTTCATCTCTACCGAGATAGCCATTACAACTTTCTACATGACGATCGCCTTCCTCTAAACCTTGAATTTCTTGTCTCTATTTTGCCAGTTCGAATTATGCTATGTTCTGTCAGAACAGATCTCTCTTAATGAGTAGTGCAAATAGCACTTTATTTTCGCTGTACTGTTACCAACAACTTTCTGGAGCAAAGAATTCCAACACCGTTTTTTTTTTGGTGATTGCCGTTAGGGTATATACTATTAACCATACATTTAGACATAGTATATTTTAATAATTGTCATGGTTAAAAGTCAAAGTGGGAGATTGTTGGGATATATACTATTAACCATGAATTTTGGTTTGCATATACTACCTCCATTCCAGTTTATGTGAACCTATTTCCTTTTTGGTCCGTTCCAAAAAGAATGACCCCTTTCTATATTTGGAAACAATTTTGCTTAAACTTATAATTCTACCCTTAATGAGAAGCTTTTATAACAACACAAATACTCTGAACCCCTTTTTGAATTGTTTAAGACCACAAATTCCAAAATTCTTCATTTTTTCTTAAACTCTGTGCCCAGTCAAATAGGTTCACATAAATTGGAACGGAGGGAGTAGTATTTATTATGGAACAATTGTTATTCAATTTTAATAAAGTTTTAAATAAATCATATATCTGTTTGTCCTTTACTTATATAGTAGATGATTTAGTGTATAGAGTATAGCTTATAAACGAAAGATTAAATCATCGGTTCTTATGAGTATAAAGATCATGTTCACAATCTAATGATGGAATTGGACAAACTATCAGGAATGATTGTAGCACAAGATTAAATATAATTTATCTTGATTATGGGAATGGTTTAATTCCAACTTTTTGTGCTAGTACATTTTGTATGTATTGAACGGACCAAGTAAAGATAAGTATTTTATACTTACTTAATAAAATAAATTCTCTAGCCATTAAATGTACTTATACTCTTAATCTTGATATATTTATTATTAGCTGTGTATATTATTATTGTTTTGATTTATTAAAAGGCGAGATCCTTTCGTGTGTCAATATGCTTGGTAAATTGGACAATAATGATATACATTGGCAAAGTAATATTTAGTTGACGGAATCCATGTCTCGGTCTAGAGATTGATGATACACCTTTATGAAAGCTTATAAATTTTCATGTGTAAACCGTGCAGGTGGATTTTGTATCCGTCACATGAAATAAGTTAAGCGAAAGTCTAAAGGAAATAATTAATTAATTAAATTGTCAGTAATTTAATTTATTTGATTAGTATCTGAATCTTAAAATGGGGAGTTAAATAAGGTTTAATGGAAGAATTTCGAAATTGAACTGAGGAGTGCAATTATGAATTTTTAGTAGAATAATTCGTAATTTATTATGGTAGTATTAATTCGGATATTTCGAATTAAGTCCATAATAGGAAGCCTCGTTAATTAAATACTGCGGTCCCTGCTCTGCCCGAATAATTAGGAATTAAATGAAATTCTATTTCTTGGTGGAAAAGGAAGACCCAACAGGTTTAGGAAAAGGTTTTAAACCCTAAAACCTGTGGCTATATAAAAAGGGTCTTATTCCATAAGGAGGCCATGGGTTTTACTACACGGTTTTCCTGGGAGAAATTCGCCCACACGAATTTCGCTAATTCCGTACATTATTCGGGTCACACAACAGAAGACTGTGGAATTGGAGGACGGTCTCGTGGACGATTTTGCTCTTACTTGAAGGCGCTTTTCGCAATCGCTGTCACGCTTCAAGAGATAAGTATCGATTTTATGTTTGATTAAAATCTGTGATTGTGTGTTGTCTATATTACATGCAAGTGATCTTGGCTATTTGCTTCCGCCGTTTATACTTGTTTTCCATCAATTGCGTACTATTCTAGCGAAGTTTCAGCATTGACTTTCTATGTTTTCAAAATAAGCAAACTCAGGTTTGTTTTCCCACTTTGAGTTTGAGGGGACTTGTCAGAATAAGAGTGTCTCTATTTAGATTCAAAAGAAGTCACTTGGTCTGCTGAAAGTCAAAACATAAATCAGCTGGATTTCTTCTACATAGCAAACTTCTTAGTGTCTTGCTTTTTGCTATAGTCAAAATCAGCATTTCTTTCTTTTGCTTTGGATTCTTTGATTTAGCAATTTAAGATTAAATTTGTTAGATGGCCCTAGGACTTTGGTTTAAAGATTGTGTGGTAGACACACGTCACTTGTTTGGTATTTAAGTGGTAGGAGGGTTATGGGGTGGGTCCATACTCCCTTGAGTGTCGACTTTATGCTCCAACTTTGGGATTGGCCAGCTACCCCATAGGGGATTTCTCAGTTACTATTGCAACAATAACAATTATGCCTCCGTCCCAAGCTAGTGGGGAAGAAATTTCCCTGCTATTGGAAAAAATTATATTTCTTAAATGAACAAAATGCATATTTTGCGTATATTTGTGCAGCAGCATTATAAACTTCCCTGTTATAAAGCTACACCGGTGAACGAACCTTTCTTGACATTTAAACATGGAACCTAACATTGTTCGCCTCATTCAAAGGGGGGCAGTGATTTGCAGGTTTCCCAAATTAGGAGGTTAGTAGTGTGTATACTTTGTGGGAGAAATAGTAAGGTCTGGAAAATTATGTAGTACTTTAGGCTTTTCATGGATGTGTTATTGTACTATAAAAGTTAGAAGGTGGCAGAGGAAATGAAATTATGAGTCTTCTTGAAATGTTCACCTCTTTTATCCCACTATCTCAAATTTTGCTCTTTGCATTAATATATAATTCTGGTATGTTCTCTGCCACAATTGAGAGGGGAAAAAAGCAGCAGTTATGATGACAAGTTAGTAGTGTCAATCGCTGGCAAATAAATATTTTTATAATATGGAGGCATTTCCACGATGTAACTCGCCATTTTGATCTATTTAGCTGTTTTTTCCCCTGCCCTTCTTTTCAGTGAAAAATTTACTAGGCTTAGCAAAGACTTGAAATAATATTGTTATTCTCAGTGTTTTCAGGAGGAAAATTTTACTGCACTTTAATTAGCATGCATCTTGTCACTTTCCGGAAGACGTCTAAGCCAGTAAATGAGATTCATTTTGTTATTGTTCATAGATGTTGGTTTCACTTGGAAGCGGACCATGGGATGAGCTCTTTGGTGGAGGCAACTCACCAGCCTTGGTTGTGGCAGCAGTTTCAGCATTTGCCGGTGGACTTATAGCAATCCTGGCAATTCCTCGAACACGAGTTGAGAAGTCCAAGATCCATGCTTGAGGTATCTATTATCCAAGTATAACTATCAATCTTTGGTCTATGGAGTAGCATTGCAATTATCCCGTGTTAAAGGCGTTTTATTAGGCCTCTAACTGAAAATCTATCCACCCAATTCCTATTAGGACAACTTGGTGACGGGGGTAAATAGATTTTTATTGTTTGGCTACCACTGAGCCCCTACCACTTTTTGTGTTGGTTTCTTTACCTGGTTAATTCAATTTTCAATAGTAACCAAGCTGCATTCATGTCAAAAGCGACACTCATTATTGTGGATAGAAAAAAGAAGACAGAACTTTGTTGAATTTTTACTTATTTTTTAATTGGTGCAAACTGTCCCAATTAACCAACACAAACTGCAGCAAGTCAGTGAACATTTTTCAAGTATAAGAATTACATCATCATCACTGCAGTTGATACTGTGCAGAGTAGATTCAGATATATACTCTATTCCCAACTCCTGTTTATTTAAAAAAGAAAAAAGGATACTATGCCCAAGTCCCAACTGCTTATGAAGTATTGTTGGCTTTAGTTGCTTCTAAACAATCCAGTGCACGATGCTCTGCCACTTTGATGCACATTTTTTGAGGTGTTTAAACTTGTATATTGGAAATTCATTCATTTAAAATCCATCCACAAATTCATGCTCACTAATTGAGATGCAATTTAAACTTATTTTTATCCTTCCTTTTAATACTGTTGTATGTTCATTTATTTTTCGGAAAAAGCTTTGTTTATATTAGTTTCATGATTGTAGAACAAAAGCCTATCATTTGCTTATTAACACTTGTAATCAGTTTAATGGGGATTCCTGATTCTAGGTTTATCTGCTCCACCATCCTTTACCTTTTTGTAAACTATCAGCTGACTGTATTTTATTTCTGTGGTAGGTTTATTTGCCCTGTCGAAAGGCAAGTACAACGGTGCCGATTATTCTCCAGCACTGGGTTTGGCAGGTATTTAATCTTTGCCAGTATCCTGTTGCCTTTTTGACAATTCCT